TACCAGTGGATGGCGCCGGAAGTCATCTCGGGCACCCACTACGGTGCACCCGCCGACATGTACTCGTTCGGCATCATCTTGTCGGAATTTGCGACGCACCAAGTGCCGTACGCCGACCTGCGCCACCCAGACTCTGGCAAGCCGCTGCCGCAGCACTACGTCTTGGATCACGTCCGCGAAGGTACGCTGCACCCAACGTTGGACGGCGAAGGCGTGCCGGCGTGGGTCAAGGACATTGGTTTGCAGTGTCTCTCCCTCAATGAAGACGACCGGCCGACAGCATTAGACGTTTCAGCTCTCTTGAGCCTTTATGAGCCATAAACGCTGAGCTTGCCTTTGTTTCTCATTTCGAATTGTGTTGCTGAAGAATGGGCACTTGGGAGTGAGTTGCAACCTTTGCCATCGTCCAATATGGCTGCGTGTTGCGCTCAACACTGCATGGATGCAGGCGTGGGCTACCAGCAATGCATGATTGAATAGAATTTCCATCGCACTCTCTAATGAGTCGTTCGCGACAGGAACCGACGTTTAGAACCACCTTGAAGGTCATGCGTTCTTGCCACGGTTACACGAAGGTTATGTGTCCGTGACAAGGATATAATTTATGAGTATACGAATATTAGCGTCAACGCATTAGGCGTTTCCAAGCACGATTCTAATATCGACGCTTGCAAAACGTTAGCAGACCTAAGTAAAAAGGCAGGTCGAGACAAAATGAATGCGAAGGTCCGAGCTAGGGTTTATGGAACTGCTGCCTCTGGGCTGATGTAAACTAAAGTATCCTACTGTTAGTTGGCTAGTTGTCATCGCTCACGGCTCGAAGCGGCTCAGCATCGCTGACACCTCCAGCGCAGTCGGGCGACTCTCTTTGTCTTGCAAAAGACACTGTTGACCAATGTCCTGGACCCACGTCGGCACGCCTTCACCGTCAAAGGTTGGGCGCAGCGTGCCGCCCCGCACGTGGTTCATCACGTAGAGTTGGTTCACAGGATGACCCGTGTCCGGGTGGCGCAGGTCGGCGTACGGCACTTGATGCGTCGCAAACTCAGAGAGGATGACGCCAAACGAGTACATGTCGGCGGGTGCACCGTAGTGGGTGCCCGAGATGACTTACGGTAGCGCGGCTCGTTCAGATAAAGTTGTACACGAAAA